ACTACTGCTACTGCTAATACTACTATTACTGGTGCTACTGCTACTGCTGCTACTGTTAATACTACTATTACTGGTGCTACTGCTGCTACTGCTAATACTACTACTGCTACTGCTAATACTACTACTACTACTGCTACTGCTAATACTACTGCTAATACTACTACTGCTGCTAATACTACTGTTACTACAGACAGACACTACAGCTGTAGGTACTGCCTACATGTACACGTCTCTGTGTGGACCCTCCAGCTCTGAACCTCAGATCTGTTTTCTTAATAATAAATATTAAATATTCTGCAGCACAAACGATTAAATCCACATTCCATTAATAGATAATCAGTAAATATTTGATCTAAACTTTTAATAATACAGTATTTTATAATATTCAAATATTGAAAATAGACACAATGTTTTTATATGAAAGTGATCAGATGTTGAAATATCTCTGGTAATATTTAAAATGTTTAAATATTTACTGCCACATTAATACAATATTTTGAGCTGCTGAACGAGCCAACTCGTTAATAATCAAACAGGATGACCAGAGGGAGGACGCAGCTGCAGGTCAGAGGTCAGAGGTCATCCTACCTGTGACATCACAGGGCTGACAGGAAGTGGTCGCCATGGTGGGCGTGGCGGCGTGCGGCTCGGTGAGATCCATCAAGGCTCTGTGGGAGACCAGGATCAGGAGGATCCAGGAGGAGCAGCAGGAGGAAGAGGAGCAGAGGAGGAGGATGGCGAGGGGCGGGGCCACAGGCAGGTCAGACTCCGCCTCTGCTGTCTATTGGTTAAAGAAACAGGAAGTGTGTGTTGAACCAGAAATGTTCTGATGACATCAGCACCACCTGAAAGATGATGTCATCGTAGGGGGTTGCTTTAAGTCTTTCTGGGAAATCCTTTTCTTAGCTTAGCTTAGCATAAAGGCTGGAAACAGCTAGCCTGGCTCTGTAGCAGCGCTAAAGCTCCCGACTGACGCGCTTTATCTGTTTGTTTAAAGAAGCTACATTTAGTGTGGATTCTGGCGGCCCCTGTGATCCCACGCCCCGCGTCCTGAACATCCGATCCGGCCGGCCCTTGTTTTATGAAAGACGTGACTTTTAATCCTGTCTTCAGTATTTCAAACAGCTGTTAGTAGGTAGCTTAGCGACGATTAGTAACTGTAATGTCACGACACAAAGTAAACATGGGGATCAGTCGGCCGATCAGCTGATCAGCAGTGTGTGTTGGTTACTAGGTGAACAGCTTTTTGCTGCGTGACTCCAGTTCACGGTCCGTCTGGTCTGTAATCTTTCCTGTTCTTCATGTGGTTCTTGTTCCTGGTTCAGACTGAGTGTTGGCGTTTGGGAGGACCGGGCGGCTCTGGCTCGGCTGAAACAGAAGCTGCAGACTGAAGACGGACGCCTGGTCCTCCGGATCGAACAGGAGGAGTGGAAGGTATGTCCCCACACAGGAAGTAGACTGTAGAGGTGGATTTACCTGATCTGAGTTCTCCTGATGCTGTCACGGTCTCTTTCCCCCACCCCGTCCCTCCACCAGTCGTTGCCTGGCTGTCTGGTCCAGCTCACTCAGGTCCAGGAGTGGCAGATTCACCGGGCTGGACTGCAGAAGATCCCTCACTTCATCTCCAGCTTCCAGAACCTTTTAGTTCTTGATCTGTCCCGCAACGGGGTCACCGAGATCCCCAAACAGATCGGTCAGTACGTCTTCTACTAAAACTAAAAACCTGGTTTTAACCCTGGTCCATGTCCTCGGTGTGTTGAGTCCTCTCGTGTCCTGGTTGTGGTCTCAGGGAAGCTGACTCGGCTCAGAGAGCTCCTGCTGAGCTTCAACAGAGTCCACTTTGTTCCTGAAGAGCTGAGCTGCTGTGAGAGCCTGGAGAGACTGGAGCTGGCCATGAACCGGGACCTAAACCAGCTGCCAGACCAGGTATGAAAACAGACCTAAACCAGACCAGGTATTTCAGTACTGCAGAAATCTTTTAAACCAGATAAACTGAAACCTCAAACCAGGTGTGGACCAAAACCTGGACCAGCTTCCTGTACCAAGTACTGTAGACCTGTATTCAGGATCTACGTTGATCCAGCTGACCTGATGACCTGACTGTTTCTGACCCTCAGCTGAGGAACCTGAAGAGGCTCCAGCACCTGGACCTGTCCATGAACGCCTTCACCTGCGTGCCGGACTGCGTGGTCGGGCTGCCGGCGCTGGAATGGCTCGACATGGGAGGAAACCAGCTGCAGCACTTACCTGAAGACATTCACAGGTGGGTGAAGGAATCATGGGAGACCCGCCCCCTCCTGCAAGCAGCCAATCAGCAGTGAGCTGTGTCTGTCCTCAGGATGGAGATGCTGCACACTCTGTGGCTGCAGAGGAACCGACTGGAGAAACTCCCAGACAACATCAGCAGGATGGCGAGCCTCGACACGCTGGTTCTCAGCAGCAACAGACTGCGAGACATCCCCCCTCTGATGGAGGGCATGTCCAAGCTCAGGTGGGTCGGTACGTCCCAGTGAAAACCATGTCTCATGATAAACCCGGTGTCAGACTCAACACGTCTGTGTCTCTGGTTGAAGCAGGTTTGTGAATTTCCGGGACAACCCTTTGACCCTGAATGTGACGCTGTCGTGCAGGAAGACAAAAACCGAGGTCGATGAAGACGACAGCGAAGAGGAAAGAGAGATGTTTGGACGAGAGTTCATGCATATGTACATCCAGGAGTCCAGAAAGAGAGCGTACGCCGTGCTCAACGTGCACTGTGCCCACCATTAGTACCAACACCGTGAGTCTCTGAGTCTCTGAGTCTCTGTCTCTGAGTCTGATATCATTTATTTTATATGAAACCTTTTGGACTGAACCAGAAAAGACATCAGAGCCTTGATAATCCCTGTTTCTCTTTCCTTTCTGGTCGTATGACACTGTGAGATCAGTGGCGGTGTTGTTGTGAGAATCCTGACTTCCAGTCCAGAAACACTGGATCCTACATTTCCCATGATGCACCTGGACTGTTCACTAGTTTGTAATGCTGTTCCAGATTGTGCTGAATGAAAACAGCGTGTTTTACCTGCAGAGCAGAGTGAACTCAGGGTAACAAACTCTGAGCGCCCACACTGGTGTTAAACTACAGCGGTGGATAAGATGTTGGTTAGCTGAGTCAGCGTTAACTTAATTGGAGCGTTCATATAAAAAGGGCCATGTTCGGCCATGCAGGCAGAGTTTCTCCACAACGACGCATGCTCTGTATTTCTCCAGAAGAACGCGTGTCGACAGGTGTCAGGATGGGAGGGGTTTAAAGAAGCCAGGGAGGCTTGTTGGCATCGCATGGAGTAAATCTGTAATTATCTTCACAGGTTTCTGGTTGTAGGCTGATTCTTTATTCTGTATGAGCTTTTCTTTTATGTGTAATCTGATTAAGATGTAAAGGTGCAACTGCACACAAGGTCCATTGTAATAAAAACATTGGAGCCAGGAACAAACTAATAATCACAAATCTACAAGTTAAAACTTTAATATTTTCTCTGACATTGTATTTATGAGAGAAACTCGGCTGCAGCATCACACACTCCTCTGCCTCTGTGTGTTATATTATATATGCGGATTCAGCAGTGAGGAAACGCTCGGGAGTACCGCCCACAGTCACTATCATGCACCTGAGAGCCTTCACTGTGGATTATTAAGAAGAAAACTCCAGAGGGACTTGGATTTTTATCAGGGTTTTTCTGATTTTCGATCTTGGAAATTTGTCACTTTCATCTTGGATTTTTTTCTCGGTTTAGGCTAGGCCTATTAACCTCTGACCCTGGCTCTGTATTTTTTGGACACGTAAAATGGTCAATCTAAATATGGCAAAACTCTTAGAAGGATTCATTTGCAGCCTACAGATGGGCTCCATCTCAGAAACTGGCCCATTAAGTACTTCAGATCTCCTCCCTAAATCACAGCTCGGCTGCAGAGGACCAAGTATTAATACTTCTCCTCAGTAACGCTGAGTACAGATGGTGTGTATTAATACTTCTCCAGCTTCTTAGCCCAGGTAACACCTTAAAATGAGGCTTCTGCAAAACGTTTAAAAGTATCTAAAGTGAGTAGATTGTATTTTTATTGTATGACAGTGCTGACAGCTGTCGACTTTCTATCGAGTTTGGAGTTAATTTGCGAGCAGCTTGTAAAGCAACATGTTTTATGGGAAAAGATCATAGAGGTTCGTTAAACACGGTCTGTGATTTATGAAGCTGCTATTTAAATGTCATCTTTAAATCTTTAATGACCCCGAGGTATTTAAAACTGTTAACAAAAACATCGGGTTGATGAGAAATACAGTTTTGTTTACATTCAAGTGTAAACATGAATTATTTAACCAGTTAGAAACCTGACTCATGGATGCAGTTGGTCTGTTTGCAGCTTGTTTGTTTTTAGCATGCACATATCGAACCGTGTCGTCAGCATACAGTCGTATGTTGCTAAAGTCAGGGCGCTAACATACAAGCTAAACAGCTGGGGCCTAGCATTGACCCTTGGGGAACACCAATATTACAATATGTCAATACGTACAGTTTGCTTCCTGTTAGTTAAATATGAGTTCATCCATTTAATTGCATCCTTGGAAAAATTCAAAAAGGAAAGGTTTGAGAGGAATACCTCATGGTGTGTATTATTTAATGAAATACATGCAAATATACTAAATGTTGCCTTTTAGTTTGTGCTTTAACATTTCCACTGTGAGCTTCCACAAAGATGCTGACGTTGTGACAGCGTACAGCTGTTTGACCATGTTGACTTCACTGGTCCTGGTGCAGGTTCTGGTTCTGTCTGTAAACTGTGAGCACCCCGCTTCCCCCAGTTAATCCTCCTGTGACCCTTAGTGGGGCCCAGAGCCGCAGGTTTGAAACCACTTTACACCAAAGTGACGACGAAACACAGTTTGTATTTTGTTTACAATATTAACAGCAACAACAATGATAATAATCTTTAACATATTTATTACCAAAATGAAGGAAACACGTTTCTTTGTTTCAGACGTGAACGACAGCTGAAATCTTGTCTGAGTTTCTTCTTCTGGGCTTTTCCTGCTCTGAATCAGTGAAGAAGAAGATGAGGCTGAGGCACTGCGGAGGGTTCTCCAGCTGTTCCCTGGAGAACTTCTTACAGACTGAAACATGTGAAAGCAGCCAATCACCAGCGGGACTCCTTTAATGCAAACAGAACCTTTGAGTCTGAAATAAAAACAGTTGTAGAACCTCAGTGGGAGTTCGTGTCATTAGTTCTGCGGTCAGTCTCTGGACCTTCAGGACGGAGACGAGGGGACGGCGGTCAGCAGGACGTTCTCCAGAGTCACCTGAGACTTCACGTAGGCGCTCAGTCTACCGTCAAACCCTTTCTTCTTCAGGAAGTCCAGTCTGCCGCTGTCAATCAGACGCTTACAGAGACGACCCAGCTGCTCGCGTTCAGCTGCCGACAGGAACCTGCAGAGAACAAGACCACATCCGGTTAGACCAGGACCACACCACAATACTAGCATCAGAGCTCTGCTGTTTGTCCCCCACATAAATCGTATTCATGCAACTCCTGGTCCGCTCTGAATATTTACCCGGTCACAGCATCCGTCTCCTCTGCTGGTTCGTGCTCTTCGTCATCTCCTCTCTGATTGGTCGGATCCTGAGGCGGACGGTCCTGATTGGTCGGCCTGAGTCCACATGTGGCCCAGCTGGACATCCGACAGAAAGCGGAGAACTCTCTAGCTCCGAGTCCTCGCTGTAGGAAGAACTGCTGACCCACGTAGTGACGCCACTCACAGCGATGGTGGCAGCACAGTGCCACCGCCAGGCCCAGTATCGGACCAGGACCAGAGTCTGCACCGGGACCAGGGTCTGGCAGTGCTGCTGAATCAGCTGGTCCTGAATTCCCGTCTGGTTCTGAGGTTTTGAGGCGTTTTGGGGGCGGTCCGGTCTCCTTTCTGGGTCTAGGTGTTTCCAACAAACAGCGCAGAGCCAAATCTGCATCAGAAACGGAGACAAGTCAAAACCCGGAGCTGGACGGGACGGATCAGGCATTGACACCAAACCAACACACTGCCCCGTGTTTGTGACGGAGACTGCTGACAGCCAATGAGAGTTCAGGACTGCTCTCACCTGTGGCCGCTCCACACAGGTGTTTCCCGACTCCAACCAACGGGAGCTTCTTCGGTCTGAGCAGAGGGACCCGACCTGAAACAGCCAGACAGAAGATTCTCAGAGAGCTGTCCCCGTGGTGTTCGGGTATTCTTATTTACAAGGACGTCCTGTTTTCCTTTCCATGACCGGACCCCCTTCTAGTTAGATGTGGATTATCAGGTGGGTCACTGTGGGGTTTCTGTTTCTGGGACTCATTTTAAATGTATTAAAACCTGATGCTTCACCACTTGAGTGATTGGTGTTTCTGACTGTGTCAAGCACTTTGGAACGTGGACTTGAACAGGTCTTAAAGACCGACACCTGTCAGTGTTTGGCAGGAGCTCCCGATGAAATCACCTGTACGTGAACCACCAGCCAGCAGAGCCAACGCTGCTCAACAAGTCCAGGAAGCGTTTTCAGTCTTCATCTAGACCTGAAGTTCTTTAAATTAGGAAGCTTTCCTGGACGCTAACGGATCTGCCCCTGAACCGGGTTTAGGATGAGCCGTGTATTGATCGGTGCACAGGGATCATTCTTAGAGGGGCCCACCTGCTCCAGACACCTTTTATAAAACTTTGAGTGTTCGTCTCTTACTTAAATCCAGATGCTGAATGTCGACCTGCAGCCTCTCAAACTCAACTCCAACCTCCTGGTGTTTCCCGTCCACCTGGACCAGAACAGACCTGGTTTACTTTATGGGTTCAACAGAAAATATCTTCAAGACAAATGTTCAGACTGAAACTCTAAAGCTGTTTTGGGTCGAGACTTTAAGAAGTTGGAGTTATGAGGTTTTTCCCTGCCTTGAAGCGGGTGCTGCAGCGCTCCACCAGCAGCAGCTGCAGGTCGTCGCAGGTCTGCAGGCGGTCCCGGGTCTTCAGGGCTTCGTGGATCCAGTGAGACAGCTTCCCTCGACCTGCTCCGAACTCCACGAAACACCGCCCCCTTCCCAGCAGCCTCAGCGCCTCCAGGTGACCTAGGATAGAGGACTGAACACACCTGACAGGTGAGAGGGGAACAACACTGAGGCTCCACCTCCTCAGGGGGCGTGGCTTATGAAGGCGCATCACCTGCTGAACCACGACTGTAGAAACAACATTTAAACTAGACATCAACCAAACTCTGTACATTTTTCTGCGGCTTTAAAAATAGCATTCCTTCATTTGAACAGTGTTCACATTGTTTTTTGCATTAAACCTTGAATGTGTACCTGTTGCTTCAGGTGTTTGTGGGCGGAGTCTCCGTTCTTCGGGTTGTTGAGTTCCTCCTGGAGGACGGGGTGAGACAAAACTCTGTCCTCCACATCACAGCACAGACCTGCAACAGTCCGGCAGAGATCCTCTGAGTCACGGTGAGGGAACAAACATCAGCTTTCTTCCTGTGAGATTCTGGTCATCAGCATATAAATCAATATAATGAAAATCACTCGTGCTTTAACGAGCACCTTGAAAACTACAAAATCTTCCGGGGGTTCAGTGGAGCTTCCATCGGAACAGATAGATTTTAAACCGGAGACTGTGTGTAATCAGACCGCTGATGACTCGCTAACATACCGTCGCTCAGACTGAGAGGAGGAGGAGGACGACGAGGAGCAAAAACTCACCTGCAACCGCCGCCTTCAGTTTGTCCACTAGAGTCTCGAGCTGCGCCCGGCTGCACGCCGCCAGACTCACCTGGCGCACAAACAGAACCGTCAGAACACACCTGAGTGTAATTCAGAGTCTGTGAATCGTCAGCCGTTACCTGTTGGAGCGTCTGTTCTCCGTCAGCTGGTCCAGAGTTTATGTCCTCCACGAAATAAACCTGCAGGAGGAGGAGGACTTTGATCAGACAGCGAACGCAGCACAGACTGATAAAGAGCAGAGCAGGTGGGCGGGGTCTCACAGGTCTGGGTTTCTCTCTGGAGTTACACTTCTTCAGGTGTTTGTCCAGTTTGTCTTCACTCACGGTGCTGAGGGAAGTTTACAGGTCAGTGAACGCATCACCATTCAAACAGCACATATTCAATAATGTCATGGTTTACTGCTGACTCACTGTTTGGGGTCCAGAGGACACGCGATCCTCCTGCCGCTCCCTTCCTCCTGAAAACAGGAAGCTGTTAGCACACGGGTTGTGACGTCACAGCTCACCTGTCAGCAGGTGTGTGGACGCAGGAAGTACATAAGTGAGTGGTAGTGAGCAGTACTGAGCGGCTGTGGTAGTGAGTGATAGTAGTGAATAGTAGAAGTAGTAAGTACTAGAGAACCGTAGCAGTGATAGTAGTGAATAGTGGTGATACTAGTGAGCAGTAGCAGTGATAAGTGGTGATACTAGTGAGCAGTAGCAGTGATAAGTGGTGATACTAGTGAGCAGTAGCAGTGATAAGTGGTGATACTAGTGAGCAGTAGCAGTGATAGTAGTGATAAGTGGTGATACTAGTGAGCAGTAGCAGTGATAAGTGGTGATACTAGTGAGCAGTAGCAGTGATAAGTGGTGATACTAGTGAGCAGTAGCAGTGATAGTAGTGAATAGTGGTGATACTAGTGAGCAGTAGCAGTGATAGTAGTGAATAGTGGTGATACTAGTGAGCAGTAGCAGTGATAGTAGTGAATAGTGGTGATACTAGTGAGCAGTAGCAGTGATAAGTGGTGATACTAGTGAGCAGTGATAGTAGTGAATAGTGGTGATACTAGTGAGCAGTAGCAGTGAATAGTGGTGATACTAGTGAGCAGTAGCAGTGATAAGTGGTGATACTAGTGAGCAGTAGCAGTGATAAGTGGTGATACTAGTGAGCAGTAGCAGTGATAGTAGTGATAAGTGGTGATACTAGTGAGCAGTAGCAGTGATAGTAGTGAATAGTGGTGATACTAGTGAGCAGTAGCAGTGATAAGTGGTGATACTAGTGAGCAGTGATAGTAGTGAATAGTGGTGATACTAGTGAGCAGTAGCAGTGAATAGTGGTGATACTAGTGAGCAGTAGCAGTGAATAGTGGTGATACTAGTGAGCAGTAGCAGTGATAGTAGTGAATAGTGGTGATACTAGTGAGCAGTAGCAGTGATAAGTGGTGATACTAGTGAGCAGTAGCAGTGATAGTAGTGAGCAGCTGTAAGCAGTAGTGATATAACAATCACGATGCCAGCTCAATCATCGACCATCTGTCCATCAGCCCAACCCTAGTAGTAGTAGTGAGCAGGGGCCATATTTTCACTCTTCTGTTATTTCAGGCGGATTATTCGGACAAAACCTTATTTGGGTCGTTGACAGTTTACTGCTTATCAGTCAGTCTGGCTGCTACTTAGTTTACGGGTCTTCTGTTTACATTTATTCATTTATCTAACGCTTTTATCCAAAGCAACTTACAATCGCTGTACATGTCAGAGGTCGCACGCCTCTGGAGCAACGAGGGGTTAAGTGTCTTGCTCAGGGACACAATGGTGGATGGGTCACAGTGGGGGATTGAACCCGGGTCTTTAACACCTAAGGCATGTGTCTTATCCACTGTACCATCACCACCCTGCACCAGCACTATGTTTAAATAAAGTTTTCGTCGTTAAGGAAAGGTGCTTCGATGCTTCCTTGTCTCCTTTTAGAGAAGGAAACACGCGTCACTGTAGCGTCCCAGGGCAGCAAAACAAACTGGACTCAATATTCATTCTGTTGTTTCAACCTTTCAGTCCTGTTTGTTTATTCCAGCAGCGGCTGCTGTGACGTCACTTCCTGTAGCTGATGGTTAGAAACTGTCCTTCTGTTTGTTCTAAAGAAAGACAGCGTGAGTCTGTCTCTGAGCACCGCCTTGTCTTTCCTCGTGTCCTCAGAGGGGTTTGGAGAAACACGCAGGACGCCTCTTTTTTACCTGTCCCTGAACTCACCATGGTCGCGTGCTCTCCGCAGAACAGCTTTCCTTTCCCGACGATCATTTTACAGAAACGTTTCTTTTTCTGCACGAAGAAGCCGCATCTGCCCGGCAGGGGGGCCGCCATGTTGGAACACCAGGCTGCGTTCAGGTGCTCGCTCCACTGTAGGAAATTCCCCGTTTAGATTTAGGGTTCAGAGTTAAGAGTTTCAACCAACAGAAAGTGTTGATGCTTCAGTGGAAACATCACATTCATTAATCCGGAATTATAGAAATAACACTCACAACATTAATGTGACAAACATAGTTAATAAAGATGATGTATTTATTAAGAAACGCTCCACCTGATTCCAGTTTCTTTTTGTCACCGGTATGTGAGAGTTCTGGTTTCTGTGTTTTTGTAATATTTAGCACCTTTTAATGTTTTCAGCACTTCTCTATCTCTAAGGTTATTTATCAGCACTGGGTTTGTTTTTGTACTTCCTGCTGATGTGAAATGTACATTTTAAATGCTTTTTAGTGGTATTTAGTTTTTCTTTAGTTACACTGGAAATAAAATGTATTATGTTATCAACAGACAAACATTTAGTTTTATTTTCAGCTTGACATATTTTACCTCATTTATTAATTAATGTGCCATATCTTGTGTTTTGCAACTTACAAAGTTTAACTTAACAAATTAAATTTAATAAGTTTCTACATTTCTAATAAAATGTTGTTTCAGCTCATTCAAATGTTAAAATTAATTAGAAGAAGAACATACTTTATTAATCCCACAAGGGGAAATTCAATGTTTTTTCACTCCATTGTAAATTTGTGAATTATACATACAGGTCTGAAATGAGAATCAGAAATAGTTTATTTATAAATAAATACACGCACATGTACAAACACATGGAGAGACGTCAGAGCCAAGGGTCTGCCACTCGGCCGCCTTATTTTTCATCAGTTATTAAAAGTGTAATCCATCAAATATTTTCCACTACATCTGAACTGCAACTTAAAAATACTTACAACAGAAAGTATTTGTTTACAACTAAACACGACATATTGGAAGAAATGTGTAAAAACTGTCTGATATTAACATCATTAAAGTTTATTGTTAATAACCAGAACCATTAAAAGACAAACTGTTTTTACTGCTTATTGTTTGTCTCTGAATGTTTGTTGTTGTTAGTGTTGAAGTGTTTGTTGTGTATGTCTGAATGGAAAACAAACAAGTTCATCTGTTAAATACTAAATATTATAGTTAGAAAATCAATACACTGAATCACATCCAGTTTAAAAAGATAAACAGGGTTAATACACAATTTTTGGTGCCATTTTCACATAACCTTGAGAAGTATTGTGCACTTTAGCTTTTTAACAGATTTAAACCACAGATAAATTCATTTTCAGATCTGAAACCGTTTAAATAACCTTTAAATTTTATTTTATGTAAAGTATTTTATGCATTTTCAGCAGTTGAGATTGAATCTGAACACAGTGATGATTTCTCCCCAGCAGCACCTGAACGCCCCCTCTCCTGTGATTGGCCAGCCTCCCTCTCCGCTGCTCGCTTCTCCTCTGTAATTGGCCGTCTCGTGTGCCAGTTTACACATTTTCCCGCCTCTGACCGGGCGGGGCGGGGCATGTGTCTGTGTCCGGTGGCGTCATTAGTGGCCTGTCCAACCCATCATGGCGGCGGCAGCGGAGCGGGGCGGCGGTCCCGGTTCTTCTCGGCCTGCGGCGGCGGATTATTCGGTGCTGGTGGTGGTGGGGTCACTGCGGCCCGCGGGCCTGCTGGAGCGGCTGCTGCGGCAGATTGACGCAGGTGAGTTCTGGTAAAGTTAACGGGCCCCGAAGACGAACCGAGCCGCCGCCTCGGTACCAGAGCGGGAAGTCTGCGGGCCCTTCAGAATAAAACCCGTGAAGAAGAACAGACGTCGCTGCTGCTGTTACAAACTGTTAAACTGTGTTCGGTTCTGCACCTCAGTATGAAAACAGCTGGTTCCTCCTGTCGGTAACATTAAAACTTTTCCCGGGGTTAAACCGTGTAACTTAGCGTTAGCATGCTAACAAAACACGAAGCAACCACATTAACGTTAGTTTCCTGCTTTAAACCGTCACTTTGTTCACAGTGAGCTCCGTGAGTTTCACCACAGCCTGATGGTGAAATGAGGAAACTCTGTTACGGGTTTAGTCCAGTCCGCCATGTGAAGCAGCTGTTTCTGCATCTCTGGTTAAATTTAGACCTGATATCACCGCGGACATCCGGTCCGAGTTTACCCGGGTTATCTTCCAGCTTTGGGTCTCGACGGTCTCTGTTTAGCACTTTACCCGGGTTATCTTCCAGCTTTGGGTCCCGACGGTCTCTGTTTAGCACTTTACCCGGGTTATCTTCCAGCTTTGGGTCCCGACGGTCTCTGTTTAGCACTTTACCCGGGTTATCTTCCAGCTTTGGGTCCCGACGGTCTCTGTTTAGCACTTTACCCGGGTTATCTTCCAGCTTTGGGTCCCGACGGTCTCTGTTTAGCACTTTACCCGGGTTATCTTCCAGCTTTGGGTCCCGACGGTCTCTGTTTAGCACTTTACCCGGGTTATCTTCCAGCTTTGGGTCCCGACGGTCTCTGTTTAGCACTTTACCCGGGTTATCTTCCAGCTTTGGGTCCCGACGGTCTCTGTTTAGCACTTTACCCGGGTTATCTTCCAGCTTTGGGTCTGAAACTGGTGTTTGTTGGTTGAAAGACTTCTGCTTCCTGATGGTCGGCTGAAACCTCGCTGACTCACATTGGGCAGAAAAAGGACATTTCTTTGAAAATAATACTGAACTTTAACTTTTTATTTAAGTCTGGAACTTTTCAATAGTCGCAGCATTGAGCCCTGTTTATTTTGAAAATCTCTGCCCACCGGATGGGTCGTATTTTGTTGAGCTTGACCGGTTTGGTGTTTCTGTAAAGAGCAGATTAAAAACAGAAACTTTAATCGTCCAGCTGTTTCCCAGAGACTTTCAGGATGTTGATGATTGACCTGGAAATGAGGATCAGCAGTCTGTGGAGGGAAGTGAAGTAAAAGAAATTATAGAAAAGAATCACATTTATTCAGATCAGTGCCCCTCCATGTTTTGCCCTGGTCACTCCCGGCCCCCGGCGGGGCCCGCCCCACAGTTTGAGAACCACTGGCGGAGCTGACTGGTAGAAACCAGTAGAAACAGATGACCTCGCAGTCCCAGCATGGGCCACTGCCTGTAGTTGTTGCTGTGACTGCGGCGCCTCAGAGCAACATCCTGCGTGATTAACGCGTCAAAGTTATAAATATCTGCTGTGGCTGAACACAAACTCTGTCTGCTGGATGTCATGTGTTCCAGTTGCGTTCAAGCAAACTCTGTATTTCTCTATTTCCAGTCTTTTATCTGCCTGCTGATTTGATCCCGTGCTTGCTGACACACAAAGAGGAAGCGGCGTTGCTAAATATGATCAGCTTCCTGTTTGCTGAGGAGGAACAGTTGATCTGGCTGATGAGGAAACGGGCACGATCCTCCTGTTTACAGGGGACCAGTTCAGAGTGTGGGGGGGGACCAGGGGACCAGTTCAGAGTGTGTGGGGGGGGACCAGGGGACCAGTTCAGAGTGTGGGGGGGGGACCGGGGGACCAGTTTGTCTCCAGTCTGCTGCTGTCGGTGTTGAACATGATGAAGCGCCACAACAGAACCACAAGCTGTCACACCAGTGTATTTTAGACAAACCTCGTGGCCCCGGGGCCCGTTGGCACGCGGTGCCCTGTGATATTAATGTAATGCGCTGCTGCTGAAATTTCCCATGATCATTAAACTACTCGCTCCAAATGTTTTCACTGGCACACTGTGGCAGAGCTCGGCTCGCTCCCTCCCCTCGCTCCCTCTCCTCGCTCCCTCCCCTCGCTCCCTCCCCTCGCTCCCTCTCCTCGCTCCCTCTCCTCGCTCCCTCTCCTCGCTCCCTATCCCCTCGCTCCCTACAGAACCTCTACGTGACGGGTGCTGTTCTAAGAGCAGCGTCGCTCCCTCTCCTCGCTCCCTCTCCTCGCTCCCTCCCCTCGCTCCCTACAGAACCTCTATGTGACGGGTGCTGTTCTAAGAGCAGCGTCGCTCCCGTGAGGAATCAGTGTTGAATGTCTGAGCGGAGGAAAACATTCTGGCAGTAAATGTTACAGCGTGTCGGCTTCTCGAGACCAAGAAAAGTCTGTTGTTTCCCGGCTGCTGGGAAAGTGAAGCCGGTTAGCTCCGAGTTAGGCGACATCTCCCCTTCAGCCCGAGCAGCTTCTACAGCAGCTGCAGAGCTGCTCTGTGACTGAACATTAGCTCGGTTCATAGAGAGTCACTGGAAGCTGGATTTTATCACTGCCGACCCTTAATGTGTTGAACATCAGGTACAAACCGGTGCAGCCTGCAGCTCCGTCCTGCTCAGACTGGTTCAGTCAGGTTTCAGTCGGGAAAAGAGAGGACGGAGGTGACCGGAGGAGCTCGGGTTAGTGAAGCTAATCAGTGAAGCAAACTCGTCCTTATGAGCTGATGAGGAGACGTTTCTGTTTTAATGGGGAAATGAAATGCAGCTCAGAAGGGAGGAGGTTTCTCATGCTGCCTGTTTTTATATTAATCTGTACAGATAAATGTCAGGAGCTGTAAAATGAAGACACAAAAACATGAACGATCGCATCTGTAATGATTCTGAGCAGCATTAACAGGGTTTTCCTGCCCCCCCCCCCCCCCCGAACAGCACCAAAACATTCATCTAAAGCTCACATTAATCTGGGAAACAGTGACATTTTTTATATTCTGAGGTGCAGCACATGCTCATGGACACAACAGCACATGCTGGTTTCATATCTGACAAAGATTTTGCTTCACCTGCGCTGCTACAGCTCCATCCTAGGGGCAATGCTGTCTCCACTGGGATATCAGAGGACCGAACAGAACCTGCTGTGTAGCTGGAGGTCAGATGGGCTCCTGTGATTGGTCAGCTCTCAGCTGGGATGTGACCAATCGGTTTCACAGGTGTGTGTGTGTGTGTGTGTGTGTGTGTGTTTTCCAGGTGTGCGGTGTTGGCCTGTAGATCTGGAAGTTCCTGTTCTGGACCAGCAGCTGAAACTCTTCGTGTCGAGACACTCGGCCTTCCTGTCGGAGGAC